CTACGCTTCTTCCAGGCACATTTGGAGGACCTGGCCCTCAAGGAGCTCACATGAGAAAGCATTGATACATGCCATGTGATTAAAACAGTAACACAGGGGCGGGCGCAGTGGCTCATGCCGGTAATCCCAGCACTTTGGGAGGCAGAGGTGGGCAGATCACCTGAGGCCAGGAGTTCGAGACCAGCCTGAGCAACATGGTGAAACTCCATCTCTACCAAAAATACAACAATTAACCAGGCGTGGTGGTGTGTGCGTGTAGTCCCAGCTACTTGGGAGGCTGAGGCAGGATAATTGCTTGAACCTGGGAGGTGGTGGTTGCAGTGAGCCGAGATTGTGCCACTGCACTCCAGCCTGGGTGACAGAGTGAGACTCTGTCTCAAAATTAAATAAATAAATAACATAGTGGTTGCCATTGATTGTGTGCCACTTGATTACAACAATCACAGTAGTAGCCATTGTTTGTGTGCTTATCCAGGGCCGGGCGCTATTCCAAACACGTTACTTGCATTAGCTCTAATCCTTACGGGTCTTATGGAGTAAGTAGTGTTATTATCTCCACTTGATGGATGAGAAAACTGAGGCAAAGATCAGTTAAATTAGCCAGAGTCACCAGCCAAGACATGCTGGAGCCAGAATTGGATCCCAGACAGCCCTAATCACTACAAACCCAAGTGCTTGGGGCTCCATGGTTTTAAAAACACTTTCCAATTGATTGGTCAGGGGAGGGGGGAGGAGGTGGGATGTTCGAGCAGAGGCTGTAGTGGTAGGTGAGGCTTGGAGAGCGGGTGAGCCAGGGCAAGGCGCAGTGCTGCTGGCTGGAGCGTGGGGATGGTTGCTACAGGTGAGGGAATGTTCCAGGTGGGAGCTTCCATGGCAAGGCTGAAGGTATGTAGTCATGGGGCAGAGGCATGGGGAGACGCGTTGGGGCCTTCGGGAAGGCTTAGGAGCAGCCTCATCCAGGGAGAGAGGTGGAGAGAAGACTTGAGTGACAGCACGGGGTCAGGACGAGGACGTGCCCAACCTCGGTGGCTTCCCTTTTCCTGGGTCCTAGGTTGCCCCCATGCCCAGATCTGCCTGCAGCGTATTCAGTGGGAACTGAGTGGGCACCTGCCTGCATGGGACCAGTCACCCGGCAGGGCACAGAGATAGACACTGTCTATCACACTTGCGCCCTCCAGGGCTTTCCCAGGGCTCTATACTGCCCCTCATCTGGAATCCCCCTCCTCTGCAGACTCCATGCTAATCCCATGGGTCCCCTATAGAATCCTGGGCATGCCTGGCACATTCCCACCTCTATGCCTTGGCTTTCAAATACCCTCCTCCAATCTCTGCCTCCTCAATTCCTCCCTTCAAGGCGCTGCCTAAACTCCTCCTCCAGGCCACTTTCCCTGACCTGCCTCCAGTGATCACCCTCAGAATTCCTGCAGCCTGGGTGCCCTTTCAGGGATGAGGGCAGTGAGGGAAGGTCTGGGGTCCCACTCAAGGGGGCATAATGTAGGGAACAGACTGGCTCCAGGGCCAGCGTGGGCTTCCCCCAGAGACTGGCAGGACCCTGAATGGCAGCTCAATGTCACAGCCCACAAGGCTCCAGCTGAATGTCTCTCCCTCCAAGGGAGGGACCCGCTTGTCCCTCAAACTCCATTTGTCAAGAATAAGTCCACTCTGGCTGTCTCACGGGCAAAGCCTCTGAGCCAGCGGTCCCAGCCTTTTGATCAACATTCCACAGGAAATTTTTCTCCTTGGCTAATGGGGGTGGGTCTTGGGTGTGCTCCAATTCCAGTGCCTACCTCCTATGGAGATGAATCAGCAGGCAGGCACCCCTCCACCTCCAAAGACCCACAGCCTGCCTGCTTCCTCTTGTGTTAATCTGGACAATTTACTCCTTTCACAAACCCTATGGTGCACCAGGCTCCGTACTGGGCACCGGCTATGCAGAGGAGAGTCTGCGTTCTAGGTCAACAGAATGCTTTGTGCACACAGGGGTAAATTTTTTTTTCTAGTACTTGTGACCGATCAATTGCTTACCATTTCCCAAGTGTTCCTGAATTCACAGCAGCTCTCAGTCAGAAGTTTCTCAGTCAATGGATGTCAACATGACAACTGTCAAATGGCACCCCTGGGGCATTCTTGAAACGGTTGGTATGGGCTGATGTAGTTCAATTTCCCTGACTTACAGGTGGGGGAACCAGAACCCAGACCAAGGTAGTGACTTGCCCCAGGCCTCCTGGCAGAGTCCAGGATCCACGTACTCTGGAGTCTGGGGTCCAGGGTGGAGATTAAATCCTGGTGCGTTAGAAGCCAGGTGCAGCCACCAGGATACAGAGAGGAGCTATAGGTAAATAGGGAGCAGGTTTGCCTGCTACCAAGGTCTAGGCTATGCCAACCACCTCTTCCTTCTCCTCCTTTTCCTCTCCTTCCTCTTTCTTCTCTGAAGGCCATGTCACTTGTTGACCTCCTTATGTGTTTAAACCACAGCGTCTCCCCAGAAACAAAGATTTCCAGATAACTGTCCTCCGCTGCTCCCCACCACACTGGTGGTCCTCCTCGCTGATGGCCAAGACAACCTGGCCTGCTGGGCTCTTAAAGATTCTGGCCCCAGGCCAGGCGCAGTGACTCACGCCTATAATCCCAGCACTTTGGGAGGCTGAGGCAGGTGGATCACCTGAGGTCAGGAGTTCAAGACCAGCCTGGCCAACATGGTGAAATCCTGTCTCTACTGAAAATACAAAATTAGCCGGACATGGTGGTGTGCGCCTGTGGTCCCAGCTACTCAGGAGGCTTAGGCAGGAGAATCGCTTGAACCCGGGAGGCGGAGGTTGCAGTGAACTGAGATCACGCGATTGTACTCCAGCCTGGGCAACAAAGCAAGACTCCATCTCAAAAATAAAAAATAAAAAATAAAAAGATCTGGGTTCCAGCTTCAGTAGGGTTCCTCTTCTCTCCCCTCCTGCTCTGGTTTTTCCTCTGACATCTCGTATCACCACCGATGGATCCTGTTTCAGCATCTCCTTCTTTTCCTATCTGTCAATGTGGGTCAGTCAGATTTTCCCAGGGGTCGGTCCTGCCCTTTCTTTCCCTTTTTCTCTTTCATTTGGATATAATTTCACGCTTGCTGAGAAGTTGCAAGAATGGTGCAAAACAAACAAACAAACAAACAAACAAACAGATACTCATAATCCCTTTGCCCACATTCTCCAATCATTACCATTTTGCCATATTTGCTTTCTCCCTGTGGATATACACATATAGATAGCTATAGATACAAAGAGATTTTTTTTTCTTAATTATTTGTGACGAGTTTGTAGATATCATGCCTCTTCGCTCCTCAATGGATCAGTGTATTTCCTAAGAGTGAGGGCTTTTCTTACATAATCACAGTACTTTTTCTTTTTTTTTTTTGAGACAGAGTCTCACTGCATGGCTCAGGCTGGTCTTGAACTCCTGGCCTCAAGTGATCTGCCTGCCTTGGACTCCCAAAGTGCTGGGATTACAAGTGTGAGCCACCACGTCTGGCCGGATGCAGCACTATAATTTAATTCACAGCTCATATTTCAATGTTGCCAATTGTCCCAATAATGTTATTTGTGGCTTGTTCTCTTCACCACCCCTGCCATCCCCAGCTGGGGTTGAACATAGCACGTGTATTCTGTTACGTTGTGGTGTCTCTTCAGTCTCCTTTAATCTGCCTTACTTTGTCTTTCGTGATCTTAACTTTTTATTTTTTCGAGAGTACAGACAGGCAAGTTACTGGGTAGAATGTCCCCTAATTTACATTTATATTCCCTCATAATTATATTTGGTTATGCATGTTTGTCAAGAATACTACAGAGGTCGTGTTTATTAATTCCATATTGCTGCGGTAACAAATTACCACAAATTTAGTGGCTTAGAACAACACACATTTGTTATCTTACAGTTTGGGAGGTCAGAAGCCCAAAATGGGTTTCACTGGGCTAAAATCAGCAGAACTGCGTTCCTTCTGGAGGCTCAGGGGGAGAACCCATTTCCTCGCCTTTTAGAGACATTTCGTGTTCCCTGGTATGTGGCCCCTTCTCCGTCTCCAAAGACAGCACAGTAACATCTCTAATCTTTCTCCAAGTCCCAGACCCTCTGACAGTCTGTGGAAGGCCCCACTGTGTTTCCCTCACCCATTCCCCTCGCGGGGGTCGTCTATGACCACCACCCTGGCAATATCACCAACAGCCGTGTCTTCTGGGTCACCCTTGTGGATCTGTTGGAGGGTTTCTCGTGGGTACTTAATTTCATCTGCTGCCCCGCTTGATTTCCAGAACAACTGTCCAGGTGACAGAGTTGTGGGTGAGTTCTCTCAGAGACTCTTCCTGGCTGCAGGAGTGCCTTGGCCTCTCCAGCATTCAGAATCCACCCCCTGCCACAGGCCAGTACACTGGTCCCTACTCACACACTTGGGGGGCTGGGGGCTGCTGCCAGCCAGGGTCCCACTGTCTCGGCTGGAGGGCCCACCCTAGGGCTGGACAGTTGCTGGTGACTCTGTGTTTGAGGTTTGGAGGTGCAGGGTTCCATGAGAGCAGAAAGGCCTCTGTAGGTCCTCACATCCAGGTCTCCTCACATTGGGCTGAAAAAGTGCTGCCCGGAGAGAGCCAGGAGGCTGGGAAAACCCACATCGATGGAAGCTGGGGCTGGCCCCAAGACCTCCCTTTCCCCTAGGTCCCTCCCTGGAACCAGCACAGCTGCAGACTTAAGCCTGGTTTGACCCCAAAGACCAGATGTCCTGAGTCCGACTCTGCCACTTCCTGGCTGTCACCATCCTGGGCTGCGCCTCAGTTGCCTCATTTGCCTAATGAGGACTGGAATAACATCTGCCCAGACTACCAGAGACCAGGCAAGATTTGGCCCCACTCCCCTGCCGCGTCACTCAGAAATCTACGACCCGATGCGGATCCGGGGCGGGCGCCTGGGGGCAGCGCCAGCGTATACACAGCGCGCGGGCACTTCTGGGGCACAACTGGCGCACACCTGGATTGGGGGCTGATCGCCACCCGGGGACGTCATTGGCTGGGGCTCAGGTGACGCAACCCGGAGGTGGCGCAGGGAGCACCAGCCCCAGCCTGCCTCCCTCCAGAGCCCACATTTGGGCCCAGCCCCGTCTAGGGCTGCATCCCGACCCCATCCCCGGTCACGGAGTGACCCTTCCTCGTCCGGATTATCCCGCCCGGTCCACCCGCCATGGGCTTCTTAGAGGAGGAGGGCAGCTGGAACCTGTCCTTCGCGGGCGCCGGCTACCTGGGTCTCTACCACGTGGGCGCCACCGAGTGCCTGCGCCAGCGCGCCCCGCGCCTCCTCCAGGGCGCCCGCCGCATCTACGGTTCCTCGTCTGGGGCGCTCAACGCAGTCAGCCTGGTCTGCGGCAAGTCGGTCGGTGAGTCCCGGACTGCGGGGGCGAAAAGGGGCGGGGACACCTTAACGGAAGGGAATTGAGCCCAGAGACGCCGGCGCCTGGCGCTGTGCTCTGCGCCCTCTACCCTCGGCACGGCCCCATTTAATCCCATGAGAACCCCTAGGGCTGGGGACTAGGTGACCCCCATTTGCAGAAGAGGGATCGTGGCTCTGAGCCAGAAACTCTGTTTTCCAGGTAGGCTGGGGCAAAAAGTGAAAAGGTGAACGGATCATTTGAATCCGGGGCCGAGCCCAGAAATTCTGAGCTGGAATGGGGAGAACCCCGCTCCCATTGCACCTAGAAGGGGCTGTGGGGCTGTGGAGGGGCTCGCAGGACCCCTGGGCGCTGAGGTCTCCGTTTCCCTGCACCCCCTGCAGACTTCTGCTGCTCCCACCTCCTGGGCATGGTTAAGCAGGTGGAGCGGCTGAGCCTAAGCATCCTGCACCCGGCCTACGCGCCCATCGAGCACATCAAGCGGCAGCTGCAGGACACTCTGCCCCCCGACGCCCACGTCCTGGCCTCCCAGCGTCTGGGCATCTCGCTCACCCGCTGGCCCGACGGCCGCAACTTCCTGGCCACTGACTTCGCCACCCGTGATGAGCTCATCCAGGTGGGCTGGGCGGGACCCAAGGCCTGGCTGGTGGGCGGCAGGCGGGCGGGCTCCATCTAGTCCAGAGTGACATCCAGGTACTTCCCCGGCAGACGTTTCTGCAGGGGCGGAAGGAGGGAGGGAGGGCGGACCTGTTGGTAGCTGAGGAAACTGAGGCTCAGAGAGGGTCGGCAGGGTGGGTCTGGAGACCTCCCAGGTTGCTGCACACAGAAGAGTCTGGCTGGGGCCAGTCACTGTTCTAGGCACTGTGACTGTAACAGGGAGCAAAACAGACAGAAACTCTTGCCTCCCTGGGGCTTCTATGCGCATTGGTGGGGTGGGGGGCAGGTGGTATCAATAATGAACTCATCTCCAAGTAAGGAGGTCAGGAACAATCCAGTATTGAAATGGAATAGGATGAATAGGATGTCTAAAAAGGAGGCTTCACATAGACCCTGACACTATTGACATTTGCCAAAAGTGTGCATGCTCAAGTGCAGGCACAGTGTGGCAACCAAAAGTGTCTCTGACATTGTTAGTGTCCTGTGGGGGAGAAAGTCACTCCTAGTTGAGAACCACCAACCTAGAGCTTACAAACTTTTGAATATAGGACTTTGTCTCATGGAAGCCTTGGAAGCATCCCAACTCTGTCTGGGAGGTGCAGAACCCATCCTGGCTTTGACCAGATGGAGAGGCAGGTGACAGTTTTGTTCCACAGATTGATAACAGTGAGGGCAGCTGATGTGTACTGAGCACCTACTATGTGCCAGGTCCCATCCCAACTGCTACACAGGCAAGGATTCTGGGCCACTCTTTGGGGTCCCCATCTGGCTTCCTCAGGAGCTTGCACCTGACCTCCTTCCCTGCACACCCACAGAAAGAGGAGGTGGGTGTCGAGACAGAGGTGCTCCAATCCCTGCTTCCCTTGGAGAGGTTAGTGGGAGGTGATGCCTCAGCTCCTTCATCTGGACATGGGACTGATGACACCTCCTTTGCAGGCTGTTGGGATTAGAAACCGTGCACAGGGGAGGTTCTGAATACAAGGAGCAGGTACAGTTGTATTCCCGCTGACTCTTCTCTTCCTAGGCCTTGGTCTGCACCTTATACTTGCCTTTCTACTGCGGGCTGATCCCCCCCGAGTTCAGAGGGGAGGTGAGTGCACTTTGGAACCCTGCTCTGTGCTCTGGGCAGCCTGGGGTGCACACTGTGGAGAGGTGCTCGGGTGGAGGCAACCAGCACTCCCTGAGCACTTACTGTGTGCCAGGCCCTCCCCCTGCTCCTAGGGGGCATTCAGCCTCCTGGGCTGGAGTGGTCCTGTGACTCAGGGACAGCTGGAGGGTCACTGGCTGCAGCCAGTGTGGGAGGCCCTCTGAGAGGGCAGCACCACCCACCTGCCCCCCACAAATTGCAGCGCTACATCGATGGGGCTCTGAGCAACAACTTGCCCTTTGCGGACTGCCCCTCCACCATCACGGTGTCCCCCTTCCATGGGACAGTGGACATCTGCCCCCAGAGCACCTCCCCCAACCTGCATGAGCTGAACGCCTTCAACGCCAGCTTCCAAATCTCCACCGAGAACTTCTTCCTGGGGTTCATAAGCCTCATACCCCCCAGCCTCGAGGTAGGTCTGGCCCCGTGATGGTGTTAGAGGCTTGGCCATGGTCAAGGGTCCCGTGAGTCAGACTTTGTGTGCTCCTAACCCACACTGCCCCCTGGGCCTCAAGGCAGTTACAACTTATGTCCCCAGTCTCAAAGCCAAACACCTGAATCCTAATGGGGTTCAGTTGTGTCTACTGTTCTTGCTGCACTGAGCCAGTGATGAGTGAGGACTGGCACCAGGTCATTGGGACACACTCACGCCAACTCTGCTCAGCTGGCCTTTGAGCAGGGCCTTTGCCTGTGCTCCTCTGGGCCAGGGTCTGTAGGCAGGTATCGCTATCATTTCCATTTCTCAGGGGAGGATACTATGGCTGAGAGAGGTTAAGCAACTTGTTCAAAGTCACACAGCCTGGAAGCAGCAAAACCAGGATTCGACCTTCAGTTGGCTCAGGCCCATGCTCTTGACCACTGTCCTTGACTGTGGCCAAATTGACCAACCGCTGTGGAGGCAAGGCACAAATGCAAAGAAAAAAACAAAGGAAGGGATTTTTACCCCTTGGTATTCCTGGAAAATAGATAATTTGACAACTATTGAAATACACTCCTCCTGGCCGGGCGCGGTGGCTCAACGCCTATAATCCCAGCACTTTGGGAGGCCGAGGCTGGCAGATCACTTAAGGTCAAGAGTTTGAGACCAGCCTGGCCAACATGGTGAAACTCCATCTCTACTAAAAATACAAAAATTAGCTGGACATGGTGTCACATGCCTGTAATTCCAGGTACTTAGGAAGCTGAAGCAGCACAATTGCTTGAACCTGGGAGGTGGAGGTTGCAGTGAGCCGAGATCGTGCCATTACACTATAGCCTGGGTGACAGAGTGAGACTCCATCTCAAAAACAAAAAGGAAAAAAAGAAAAAGAAAGAAAGAAACACACACACACACACACACACACACACACACACACACTCCTCTGCCCCAACCACATCCTGGCTCTTCCCTGTCCCTTCTACCTCTCAGGTTTGTGTAGTGCTTTCTAAGTCACGAGACAAGGTCATGTTCATTTACTCTGGTACTCCCCACACCCCTGGGTGGGCAGGAAACCCCAGCCGCATTTTCTAGATAAGGAAGCTGAGGCACTCAGAGAGTTGGCACTGCCATGCTGAAATCTCACAGCAAGGGTGTGAGGGAGACAGCACCCTTTGCCACTAGTGGGGCTTTAATCAGACAGGCAGGTGGGGCTCCTGGTTCCTCAGCCCACCTCAGTCTTGTCCTGGGGGTGAACATCAAAGGGGCAAAGGGAACCCCCATCCACTGCCCTACAAGGGGCCAAAGTCCCAGCCATCCCAGGCCTTGTTATCCCATTTTCCAGAGGCAGAAACTGAGGCAAGAGAGGGGAAAGGCTGGGGCAAGAGCAGCCAGGGTGTCTCAGAGGGGAGATGCAATGGGCCTGCAGGGACAGAACTAGCCAAGCAGATCTACCTGCAGGCCTCTGGCCCCTCCTGCCCAGTGCTAAGGTCCACAGGGGTCCCTGAGCCCAGCCGAATGATCACTTGGGGAGAATAGGCTGGGTTGGGACTATCTCCAGTTAAAGATAAGTCTCTGGCCTGTGACATCTGCTCAATGGGCAGGTCCAGGCCTTGCCCATCCCACCCTTGCCCTGTGTGTTGGCAGGTAGTGGCTGACAACTGCAGACAAGGCTACCTGGATGCTCTGAGGTTCCTGGAGAGACGTGGTAGGCGGCAGTCCCACAGTGGCTGGGGATCGTGTCCCACATGGTGCCAGGTGGACCCTGCCTCTTGGGCCTTTGAGCTGCTAGGGACCTGGACTCACTCACTCTTGTCCTCAGCATCTGCTCTGTGCTGGACCTGAGCTGAGTACTGGGGACTCAGAGAAGAATCACATACAAGTTCCACTGTTGAGCAGCCCGCAGCCTGGTGCGGGGCGACAGACCCAGAGAGAGACAACCCAGGGAGATGGGTGCAGGGATGGTGGGATGCTCAAGGCTGTGGCAGTCCAGAGGAGGCATTGGACTCAGCCTGGGGTTGAGGGTAGGTAAGGAGGGCTTCCTGGAGGCAGTGACAGATAAGCTGGGTTTTGACTAGTTCATTATGAAGACACCGGCAAAGATGAAGATTCCAGCAAAAGAAGAGGGCATTCTAGGCAGAGGGAAAAACAAGAGAGAAGGGACAGAGGCAGGCACCTTGAGGGCACATAACTCAATATGGCAGGAGGTGTGTGTGTGTGTGTGTGTGTGTGTGTTCATGGGGCAGTGGGTGTGCCAGAGAGGTCTGGGCTGGAAAGTCTGAACATCATCCACAGGACAGTGCTCTTCAAACTAGTGGAGTAGACATTCAGATGCAGGCCACCTGGCTCCCGAACTCATGTGCTCAAGTCCTACGTTGCAACCAAAAACACAATCAGGAGGCATTTGCGGAGCGCGTTATATGTGCCCAGATGTGAGCTTAAGCTTTATGTATTTATCTTGTTTAATTCTCAGAGCAACCATATAAGGCAGGTCTTCTTTTCCTTTTTTACAGAGAGGAAAACTGAGGCAAAGGGCATTGGGTCACATAGCTTGCAGGTGGTGGAGCCAGAACTGGAACTCTGGATTGTGTCTTTGGGGTCTGGGCTCTGATGAGCCACTTGAAAGTGGGCAGGCAGTAGGGCAGAGCAGGGCCAGGGGAAGGCAGAAGGGAGTCATCCGGAATAAGCCATGCATCCATCCCCCAGCACAGTGGATCCCCAGAACGGGGTTTGGGCACTGAGGGATATGGGCAGCATGGGGCGCCTTGGGGAGGCTCAGATGCCTGACTTATCCTCTCCCTTCCCTGATCCAGGACTCACCAAGGAGCCGGTGCTATGGACACTGGTGTCTAAGGAACCCCCAGCCCCGGCTGATGGAAACTGGGATGCTGGCTGTGACCAATGCCGGAAGAGGGGCCTGTCTCTCAACTGGAAAGTGCCCCACGTGCAAGTCAAGGACATACCCAACTTTGAGCAGCTCTCGCCAGAGCTGGAGGCTGGTAGGGACTCTTCCTGCATTTGCTCACCTATCAGGGCCCTGCACTCAGGGGATCGGGTTCAGGGACCCTGCCTTGAAGGCACTCGTGGTCTGGAAGAGGACAGGACTCATTTACTGAGCACCTACTAAATGCCCAGTGTGGTACTATGGGCTTTTTACATGTGGCATCATTCATTCCTCCCCACAACCCTGGGCCTAAGCATTATTCGTACCCACTTCACTGATGAGGAAACCAAACCTCAGAGAAAGGAAGGGACTCATCAAGGGCTCAGAGCCTGCAGCTAGGGGATTTGAACCCAAGCCTGTGCCTGCAAAAGCCAGGTCTATGCCCACAGTCCCAGAAAGGGCAGGAGTGTTGACAGACATAGGAGAGGCACACACAGAGGGTTCTGGATTCCCCAGATGAAAATGAACTCATTTCATCCTTCCAACAACCATCTGAGGATAGTACAGAATTGTTCTCATTGTAAAGATGAGGAAACCATAGCACAGAGAAGTTAAGCGACTTGCCCAAGGTCACACAGTACCAAATGACAGAACCAGGGGTTCTACTCAGAACCACTTAGTCTGCTCTCCTGCTCTGTGACTAAATGTCACAACTGCAACAACAGGAAAGTAGAGGGTCCTACAGGCACATGTAATGATGGCGGGGGTGAGTTTGAGCAGCATCTGAGTGAAACTGGAAAGGAGATGTTGGCCAGGCCAAGAGGCAAAAGAGCATTGGGGAGAGGGCCTGGCACACGCAAAGGTCCTGGGGTTGGTGAGGGAGAGCCAAGAGGTCCCTGTGGCTGCAGCATGAGGGGCAGGCAGCAGAGGTGAGCTTGGGAGGCTGGCAGGGTGGGCAAGTGTCCTCGAAAGCTGTGGGAGAAGGGAGTGAGGTGGATGGGAGGGGGTGGTGGACCCAAAGAGGCTGAAGGTGTGGGAGGCTTGGAGGAGAGTGATGGTGGTCGAGGCCAGATCAGGGAGAGTGGGGTGGGCAAGGGGACGAGGAGAGGGCCCCTTTTCATGCCGGGAGATCACACGAGGATATGCAGCAAAGGGCGTGGACCTGTGCCCAGCCCCTAAGGTCCAAGCTTGGGATTCTGGAACCCAGCAGTGTTCCTGCAGCCACACGGGGGCACCAGAGAGCTGCCTTGGGTGGAGCACCAACTCCCAGGTGCTGCGCCCTCCCCAGCTCGGGAGGGAATTGTGAATCTCATCTCTAATCCTCACCTGCCTGCCCAGGGAGGAACGTCCTGCCGGGATCCCCAGTTTACAGAGAAGGAAGCTAGGACTCGTCCTCGGACACTCGGCAGGTGGATGTGGAGCAGGGTGTCTGGCCTGTGCTACCTGTGAATCTTCAAATGCCCCGTCTCCAGAGGGCAGCGGCCAGAGTGGACGTGGTGGCCAGAGCTGTGGCCTGGGCTATGTCTGGAAGCTGGGGTTTGGGCTCTGGCTCCGTTCCAGCCCAGATGCTGGTCCCTTCCACTCTGGTCAGGTCAGTGAATAGAGGACCCAAGAAACGGCTGCTGCGGTCACAGCTGTGGCTGTGGTTATTAATAACACTGTCGTGTTACTGTTATTGAGAGAGTATGGTGAGAGCATCTGTCCCAGCCTGGCAGGCCACAGACTTTCCAGAGGGGCAGGAGAGGTAGAAAGAGCTCAGGAGCCTGAGAGTCCTCAAGTCCATCCTGGCCCTGCCACTTCCTGTTGATGGTCCTTAGGCAAGTCACTTCTCCACTCTGAACCTCAGTCTCTTCATCTATGAGAGGGCATACACCACTTGTCTCATGACAATGAAAGTGCATAGCTACCTGCTGGCCCGTGGTGGGGGGTGGCTCCGTGTTGTTTCTTCATCTGCAGAAGGTGGAGGGGGTGCAGTCTCTTACTGTGTGAGATGGGGGCGCTCAGGCTGCCGGTCCACAGACGCCAGGTGGGCAGGGCCATGCCGGGGCTTCTCTTGCAGCACTGAAGAAAGCATGTACGAGGGACCCCAGCCCGTGGGCCCGCTTCTGGCGCTCGGGGCCTGGACAGGTGCTGACATACATGTTGCTACCCTGCACGCTGCCCTTTGAGTACGTCTACTTCCGCAGCAGAAGGTAAGGCTCAGCCAGGGGGCCTGGGAAGGACCTGGCTTGTGGCGGAGACTGGTGCCCATGGCAGGAGGGGCAGCTGGCACACTGGGTGGGCAGGGCTGGGGGGGAGCCCGGCTGCTGTCTCCACACTGTGTGGTGTTGGCTGCATGACTCACAGCCTCGGTGATCTCCTCTGCAAAACGAGACTGGTGGGGAAGGGGCGTGGTGGGTACGACTGGAAGCTGGAGTCCTCCTGGTCTTCCCCCTGGACCCTACACTGTCTCCGTGACCTTTGCCCATTGCTCCGCCCATCAGAATCTCAGGGTGGCTATGTGGCTGGGGCTGGGTCTCTTCAGTCCAGGCTGGTTGTGTGGCTGGGCCCGAGCCTCTTGACCTTTCTGGGCTACAGATTTCTCTTCTCTTCTCTTCTCATTTTTCTTTTCTTTCTTTCTTTCTTTTTTTTTTTTTTTTTGACGGAATCTTACTCTATTGCCCAGGCTGGAGTGCAGTGGTGTGATCTCGGCTCACTGCAACCTCTGCCTCCCGGGTTCAAGCAGTTCTCCTGCCTCAGCCTCCTAAGTAGCTGGGCCCGCAGGCGCACACCGCCACACTCAGCTAATTTTTTCATATTTTAGTAGAGACAGGATTTCAGCTTGTTGCGCGGGCTGGTCACGAACTCCTGAGCTCAGGCAATCTGCCCGCCTCGGCCTCCCAGAGTGCTGGGACGACAGGCATGAGCCCACCACTACAGGTTCCTTTTCTGTAAAACAAGCCCCTTCCAAGTCAGGCCGGCTGTGGTTAGGCCCTCAGTAACGTTCTAACTTGCTGGTTAATGTGTCCCTCTGTGTCAGTTGTTCATTCATTCCACTAGCAGTTGCTGAGGATCTCTCAGGGGCCAAGGCCTGGCTGTGGGCCATGGAAGCAGCCTTGACCCAGACCCAGCTCCCGACCTACAAATTATCACACACTCCCCTGTAACTACAGCTCCACCTAGAGGTTTCCTGGGAGAGGCCTACACTAGCTTCAGCTGCACAGCTCAATCTAAGGACTCTCTGGCCAGGGAAGGCTGCCCGGAGGAGATGACTCAGGCTATAATCTGAAGGATGAGTCAGCGTCCACCAGGCAAAGAGGACAAGGAGAATGTTCTAGGCAGATGGAACAGCATGTGCAAAGGTCCAGAGGCAGGAGGTAGAAAGGCCTGTTCGAGGAGCAGGAAGGAAGGCCAGTAAAACTGGAGCCTCAGCTTTACTGCTGTAGAAGACGAGGCAGAGGAGGCTGGTGGGGCAGGTGCACAGAGCTCTGCAGCCGGCTTAGCTAGTCTTTGTCCAGAGAGTGGTGGAAAGGCTGGGAAGGGTTTGAGCAGGGAGGTGGCATGGGGAGATGTGTATTGTTTAAAATTCTCTCTTCTCCGGAAGAAGGTCTGTGACGGTGAGCCACAGGTCTCTGTTGAGTTAATGCATGGGTCAGTCCTGCTGTTTAAATTGCCAGTGGCCCAAAGCCAGGAGAGAGCTTTCTACCAACAGATTCTCCTCACGCTGAGCTGTTTACAGAAACCACGAGTTGAAATCCAAAAGTATAAATGTAAAGTCCAACCTTTTCAGTTAAAAACAAATTCATTGTGTGAGCCCCAAAGGGGAGCCTGCCCAGACCACAGGGAAGTTCACTCTTGGTATTTTTCACAATACATATGTTCAACAACGTAGGTGGCATTAATAGAGGCAGGTGGTCCAGAACAAGGGAGGTGACAGTCCAGCTTATGTCTTGCCATCACACCACACTCTCTGGACTGCATGCTTAGTTTGAACTCTGGTGTAGGGGCCCCTCCAAGGGTGCTGTGGTGCAGGTTGAGGCCCTGCAGTGGCCAGTGTCTGAGGTGCCTGGCCAGAGCTTTCTCAGGCCTGGCCCTATAGGACTGTGGCCTGCAGACAGACTCATGCTGTCTCTCCTCTGTGCTGGGATAAGATGCAGTTCCGAGGACCCTGAATCTGGGGCTGGCTCCATTATGGAGGCAGTGGGGATCCACGGGGACATCTTGAGCAAAAGGGGGCTCTGTCAGCTGTGTTTTTGGAGGGCCAGCAGCTTCTGAGAGGAGAGTGGACGAAGGGGCGTGGGGTGGGAAGGGCAGGGGCTGGCCTGGAGAGAAGAGAGAGAAATGGATGGAGATAAGGAGGACATTAGGAACTACGGGTGAGGTGACTGTCCTAATTTGAGAGGTGAAGAAACGGAGGCCCAGACAGGTTCCCTGACCTGTGCAGGTCACCCAGCTGATGGGCAGGGAAGCGGGGCTGTACCCTCAAGCCAGCCTGACCCCAAAGGCCCACTCTCTCCCTCCCTGCACTTCCCACTTGTTTCCTCGGGAGTCAAGGACCCTAAGGCCTGGCCACCTCTGCCAAGTTCAGAGTCCATTTCGGATCCTTCCAACCCTGCAGGTGCCCCTGTGGCTCTGAGTCACTCTGCAACAGTGGTCGACACTGCTGACACTTCTTCCCCCAACCTGGGCAGCCCTCAGGTGCAGGGGCCCCTGGCTCTGGTCTGTGGGGAGGGTGGGCTCAGTGGGGCCACACCCCAGGCTCACCTGGGCAAAGCGGACCTGCCCCTTCCTCCAGGTTGGTGGCGTGGCTGCCCGATGTGCCAGCGGACTTGTGGTGGATGCAGGACCTGCTGAGGAGCATGGCCCTCGAGGTTTTCTCCAGGACCAAGGCCCAGGTCCTTGGGCCCATCAGGTGAGGTGGGCAGAGGGCGGGGACGGAGAGGGGGTGGCTGTGCTGGGGGGAACGCACCAGCTGCTTCCCTGGACCCTGGGCAGGCTGTCCATGCCATCTGCCTGCCCACCTGCTTACCCGCATCCCTCTGGCCTACTCATGCAGCCACTGGCACATGTGTTGGTCACTGCTGTGCACCCAACCTGTGCTAGACACTCTATGACAGTCACCTTGGTCAGTCCGCATGACCTGCTGGGGGCAGTCACTGGGCCGCCCATGGGACAGGTGCCTCTTGCAGCTTCACCAGTTCCCTGCCAGTCCTCCTGCCATTGTTCCAGACGTCCCCATGTGACCTCAAACGAGGCTGGCCTTGTGTGTGGTCTGGCCTGGTCCCTCTCCTCTCACCGGCCCTCCAGACTTGGGGGGGTCCCCTGCGGCCCTCCCCTATGCACTTGACAGCTATCTGTTTAGCAGGACATCAGTGCAGTTCTCTGGGGAGTGGCCATCCCAAGACCTCCCTGACACTTCCAGCTCAGCCACGTTGAGGGCCACAGGTCCTCCTTCAGAGCAGGGTCTGGGGGAAGAGTGACCTGGGCTCACCATGGCTGCGCCTGCACCCACATGGTTTCACCTACCCTTCCCAAGCCCCAGGCACTTACCCGTGGCTTCTGCTCCCTCCACAGCCCTCCGGACACTGGCGTCCTGGAAACAAGCCCCCTCCAATCCCAGATAGCTCCTTATATGGAGGAGCTCAGGCTCACCCATCAGGCCTGAGGGGGCTGAGCTGGGCCAGCCCAGTGATTGGTGTCCCTTGATTCCTGCTCTGGCCTTTGTCCTGTGTGCCCACATCTGCCCCAGCGGGAAGAGGCCCTGCCAATCTCCATGGAGACCCTGCAGCGTGGAGCCAGTTCCCTGGGGCGCAGCCTGTCAGCATGTCCCCGGTCACTGTGTACCCAGGTCACCTGCCCTACCTCTTGCCCCGTCTCATCAGGGAGAGAAAGGAGGACAGCCGCAGAGACATGTCTTATTTTCAGAATTTCCATGGAGGGCTAGGAGGACAGCATTGCTGCGGAGACGGGCTCCTGTTCTGCCGTGGAGTTGCCCACGGAGCACCTCACAAAAGACGGGGAAAGTGCCTGATGCCCACGTCAGAGACCAGAGGAGCCAATCGAGATGATGGGGTGGGGGTGCTCCCCCCCAGACTCTTTCTCAGTCCTGTAGTGGCCCTTGGGGGTGACCCCCGGGATCTACCCCACTCAGGAAACCTTGACTTCTGACTTCCTATCAGGTCCAGAGGGTGGCAGGCCCTGGCAGGAAGCAGGAGGAGGAGGAGAGGGGGGTCCGGGTCATTTCAGGATCCCAGCGGTGTGTGCTTCTGTTGGGCCCAGTGGCCCTTGCTGCCCCTACAGCCTCATTCCTGCAGGTTTGTGACGTAGCTGTGCCTCTACTTCAGGCAAAGAGGATGCCAAGGACACCAGGCCTCTGGCCTCTCCATGAGTCACTGCTCTCCCCATTGGCAGAGCGGGACCCATGATGTGCCCCTGGCCAGGCCCTACGGAAATGCTCAGTGTCAGTGGAGATGGGGAGGTTGGAGACATGGAGGCGTGAGTGAGAACAGGAAGCAAAGGAATACACGTGGGAACTAAAGAGAAAATGACCAGCCTGGGCAGCATAGTGAGACCCCGTCTCTAAAAAAAAATAATACAAACTTAGCTGGGAATGGTGGTGCATGCCTGTAGTCCTGGCTACTTGGGAGGCTGAGGTTGGAGGATCATTTGAGCCCAGGAGGTCAAGGCTGCAGTGAACCATGATCACGCCACTGCACCCCAGCCCAGGCAACAAAGGGAGCCCCTGTCTCTAAATAAATAAACAAATAAAGAGACAATGAGCCACTCATTCATTCTTTCATTCATTTATTCAGCTTATGCTTAGTGAGCTATAGGCCCTGGGGACATAGCCTTGAAGAAACCTTACATTCTGGTGGGAGTGCGGGAGCCGACACTGAACAGCAAACGGGAAAATGTAAATATGAGATTTTTCTAGGAGCGGTGGGGCCATGAAGAAAACAAAATTGGGTGAGAGTGGGGCAGGGTGGGGGTGAAAGCAACATTGGCCCGGGTGGCCCAGAAAGGCCTTCCTGAGGAGGTGACAGCTGAGCTGAGACTGAGAATGAGAGGCTGGGTTTTGCAGGTGGAGGCAACGGCAGGTGCGAAGGCTCTGGGGTGAGACTGAAGGAGAGAAGGGCCCGCAGTGAGTGGGTGTGGAGGGAGTGGGGCAGGCAGGGGCTAGGTCAGGAGGGCACTGTCGTGGCATGGCGAGGGGTATGGATTTGGGGAGCAAATGTGAGAGAAGGGAGCGAGTGGAGGAAAGGAGGGCCTAGGGCTGCAGTGGGATTGGAAAAGGAGGAGGAAGGGGCAGACGGTGAGCATGCAGGAGGCTGTCCCCTTCCCTCCAGGACCCCCTGGGTCTGAGCAGGCCTCTGCCCCTCTGGTTGTCTCCTGGGTGGGGGCAGGCACGGACGCTGTCCTTGCCTCAGAAAAAGGCTGTCCCACTTGGAGCCAGGTGATCCATGGCTCGCACAACACTGTCTGCAGAGCTGGGATGCTCTATGCACTGTCTCCACCCTCAGAAGCTGGGTTTGGGATTTCCTCCCCTGGTGGAGAGGGGAGACCTGGCCACCTGGGTCACCAGGTGAAGGATTTAGAGGACTTTAGGAATATTCTTGCTCCCTGCCCTTTGTCCGTTGTCACAGACACAGGCCTCCATGTTCACAGGAACTCAGCCTCCCTTGATTACCCCTCCCTTGTCAGTTCCTTACATAGTGGGGACTTTGACCTGTGCTTTGTCTCCATTGCTTTCCTTTGTGACTTAGACCAGGGAAAGATAGTTGGCCCCTCCCACCTTACTCTCCATCACCCTCCGTTGCCAAGCAGGGTGCGGGGAAATGTTTCTGGCTCAGATGGTTGAATATCTCAATTGCTTACAACATTCTGCTCTGAAAACGTCTCTTTGATCTCTATTATTTGTGGTTCATGCGTCAAAGTTATCTGCTGGCAACTTGACAATGGCAGAGACCATTCACCAGCATCCCTGGCAGGACTTCATTGTTTTTAAGCACTTCCCTGGTTTCTATCTTATTTAACTCTTGGATATTTGCTCATGTGGTGTTAAAATCCAACTGCCTGCGGCTTCCCCATGGATCCCAGCTCTGCACCCTGGATCCACAGACTCTGCCTGCCTGGAGAGAGGGGCTAAAGGGTATTGATCTTCTGAGGCCACTCTTCTCCACAGTGAACAGCTCACACCTTACAACCACTCCTCAGGGACATCGCCAATCCAGTGATGCTGTTAAGGGAGCTCCAGTCCCACACCCTGAGTTTGTTCACAACCTTCTGGGAGCATGGAGTCCAGCAGTGCCCCGGAGGTGATATGGCCAGTACTGTTTCTAAATTGTCTTTCAGCTCCCACCTCCTGACCACTGCCTCTATTAATGTAGCCTCAGAATGAATGAGCTTGACCTTGCTTATAGAGCCATCATCTACCATTGGTGTCATGCCCTTCCTGGAGCCTAGAGGTGGCCCAGCTGACAGCCTAGGAACTGACTCAGGTCAGAATCCCCAACTTGTTCCTGACACAGCCCCACATTATGGAGCGGAAAAGGGATCCTGAGCTCTGAATTCAGGCTGACCTGGGTTCGAGTCCCATCTCTACAAGTCAGCATTGATGTGACGCAGGGAAATTCCTCACCTCTCAAGGCCTCAGTCCACTCTTGGATAGAATGGAGATGATAACACATGCCTTATGGAATATTTACTTGATAAAATTAAGTGCTCATGGTCGGGCACAGTGGCTCACGCCTGTAATCCCAGCACTTTGGGAAGCCAAGGCAGGCAGACCACTTGAGGTCAGGAGTACAAGACCAGCTTGGCCAACACAGTGAAACCCCGTCTCTACTAAAACTATAAAAACTAGCCAGGCATGGTGGCGGGTGCCTGTAGTCCCAGCTACTCAGGAGGCTGAGGCACAAGAATTTCTTGAACCCGGGAGGTGGAGGTTGCAGCGGGCTGAGATCGCACCACTGCACTCTAGCCTGGGCAACAGAGTGAGACTCCGTCTAAATAATAAATAAATAAATAAATAAATAAATAAATAAATAAATAAAGTGCTTACTGCAGACTATATCAAATGACCTTGATGACTGCTCAGAAAGGGGCAGTGGGGAGTGAAGGTGTGTTAATTACATTTTACAGCGTGCTGGGCACCAGACTGGGTGTGTCACCCACCAGGGGCCTCCTGTGAGCCTCACATCAGCCCCTGGGTGGTGAGTAGTCCAGGCAAAACACAGAAGAGTTGCCACTGGAGTCCAGACTTGTGCGATGTCAGTGCTCTCTCTGGCCCCTGTATCATGGTCTCCCATCAAGTCTGCTGAAGTTCTGGGTCTTCCACACTCTTCTTTCCCCTGGTATCCCAGCCAGAAACCTCTCTGAGCCCTGGAGCCTTGGCGCAGCTATGGCTCCCATTTGTGGGCCACAATCCTGGGCCAGCTACAAGCCTCTCTGCCTGGCTTTCCGAGCACCAGTTGTGTGCTGGGTGTTTTCTGATGCCTGAGGCAGATCCCTTCCCCAAGGAGCTCCCATGCCTCTAATGCTATCTCCATGGAGATAACAGGTAATGCAACCCTCAAAAGCACACATCACCTTGCAGTTTACAAAGCCCATCATCTAAATCTCACTGCAACCCTGAGAGATAGGCATTATCCTCCCCATTTTATGGGTGAGGAAACTGAAGCTCAGAGACGCAAGTGGCTGATCTGGAAATGCCCAAGTCTGTGCTCCAGGCAGCGGAAAGATCCCGGACGATCACAGCTTCCTTGTGCACCTGCTCTAGGATGCTGAGCAAGTCTTTGCCTCGATCAGCTCCTTAATTTCTTGTCTTGAAAGTCTGGGTTGGACTAGCTGGTTTCTAAAGAGCCCCCAGCTCCTCTCCGAGCCCATAACACATGTAATAAATGCCACCATGTCAGAGGAAGGAGAAATGATTTCAGGAGGGATTAGCCACAGAGGAACTGGTTTCTGAACTGGGTCTTTACAGATACTAGAATTTGGGTTGGTAGGGAGTCATTCTGAAAGGGAAAGTGCAAATGCAAATGTAGGACGGGGGTGACCCATAGTAAATTAAACTGATAAGGAATCTGAGGCTAAGAGAACTGAGGTTCCTTGTCTCCGGTCATATATGCAATGGTGAAGTTTGCATTCAAGCCAACGGCAGGCTGTGCTCCCACTATCTGGATACTAGAATTCTGGGTCAAAATACTGATGCTCAGGACTCTTCTGTAGAGATTCTAATGTAATTAATCTTGACCTAGAACTGTCTTGGCAGAAGTATGCTTGGAGCCTGTGGTTCCTGAGCACTGGTGTCCTTGGGTACCACCCCATTGGTGTGACCACCTGCCTGAGCCAGTGCCCTGCGCTTCAGACTTGCTCCATGTCATCTGTGGGAAGACAGCTGCTATATGCCCATCTGTAGCTGGAATAATGTGATGCTAGGAAGGCGGCCTCTGCCTCAGCCCCACGTCCTGGTGTGCTGCTCTGTTCTCACGCTGCTACGAAGAACTATCTGAGACTGGGTAATTTATAAAGGAAAGACGTTGGCCGGGCGCGGTGGCTCAAGCTTGTAGTCCCAGCACTTTGGGAGGCCGAGACGGGTGGATCACAAGGTCAGGAGATCGAGACCATCCTGGCTAACGCGGTAAAACCCCGTCTCTACTAAAAAAATACAAAAAACTAGCCGGGCGCGGTGGCGGGCACCTGCAGTCCTAGCTACTTGGGAGGCTGAGGCAGGAGAATGGCGTGAACCTGGGAGGCGGAGCTTGCAGTGAGCTGAGATCCGGCCACTGCACTCCAGCCTGGGCGACAGAGTGAGACTCCATCTCAGGAAAAAAAAAAAAAAAAAGGAAAGAGGTTGGCTGGTTGTGGTGGCTCACACCTATAATCCTGGCACTTTGGGAGACTGAGGGGGGTGGATCACCTGAGGTGAGGAGTTCAAGACCAGCCTGGCCAACATGATGAAATCCTGTCTCTACTTAAAATATAAAAATTAGCTCGGCATGGTGGTGGGCACCTGTAATCCCAGCTACTTGGGAGGCAGAGGCAGGAGACTTGCTTGAACCTGGGAGGCGGAGGTTGCAGTGAGCCGAGATCGCGCCACTGCACCACTCCAGCCTGGGTGACAGAGCAAGTCTCAGTCTAAAAAAAAAAATAGGAAAGATGTTTAATTGACTCACAGTTCTGACAATTCTACAGGGCTGGGGAGCCCTCAAGAAACTTATTACAATCATGGCGGCAGGGGAAGCAAGCATGTCCTTCTTCACACAGCTTCAGGAAGGAGAAGTGTTGAGCAAAAGGGGGAAAAGCCCCTCAGAGAACCATTAGATCTCATGAGAACTCACTCACTATCATGAGACAGCATGGAGGTAACCACTCCCATGATTCAATTACCTCCCACCAGGTACCTCCTATGACATGCGTGGATTATGGGAACTACAAACCAAGTTGAGATTTGGGTGGGGACACAGCCAAACCATATTATTCCACCCCGACCCCTCCCAAATCTCATGTCCTCACATTTCAAAACACAATAATGCCCTCCAAACAGTCCCCCAAAGTCTTAATTCATTCCAATATTAACCCAAAATTCCAAGTGCAAAGCCTTATCTGAGACAGGGCAAGTCTCTTCCGCCTATGAGCCTGTAAAATCAAAATCAAGTTAGTTACTTCCTAGATACAATGGGAGTATAGGCATTGGGTAAATACATGCATTCCAAATGGGAGAAATTGGCCAAAAAAAGGGGGCTCCAGGCCCCATGCAAGTCCAAAATCCAACAGGGCAGTCATTAA